ACCTGTATTGCTGCCCGTGGTATCACTCTGGCCCTGGCTCTGAACACACAGTATGTACCTTTTGGGTTTTCACTCCATATACTGCACAGACAGAAGCTGCCTGTAACAGCACCCTCCAGTTTGAGACTATGATAGGAGCTGTAATGTCTTCAGTATCTGCTTATGGAAATGTAATAATTTGATTAAGGAAAACAAAGGCAATATTTTTTTCTATGAACATTCCTCAGAATGTATCAGATTAGTATGTTTGGGAGTTGTACTATATTAGAGTATTTGATTTTATAAATTGATGCCTAAGTTGCCAACTTGAGTCTTTCTCACACAAGCATACATACAAACACACACACACACACACACACACACACACACACACACACACACACACACACCCTAGGTAAATGATTTTCCAGTTGGGATTAGGACAGAATTTACTACAACTCCTGAAATGGCCCTGAACATACTTTGGCCTCTTTGTACTATTTATTTATGCGAAGTGCTGTTCTTGGCATGGACAATTATAAAGTCAAAATATCAATCAACTCTGGAAACACTTAAAGATGCTCTGCATCCTGTAGGATCAAATCTTCAGCCAAGATTTAATTTCTTATGCAAAAAATGAATAAGCACAGAGACCTTGTTAGCATGCAAATTTGTGTTCATCTTTAACAAATGCTAAAATTACATGTACACCAAGGAAGTGTTTGTTTTTGAGGCAGGGTCGCACATAATCCAGGCTGGCCTTGAGTTTGCCAGGGATGACTTTGAGCTCTTTCTGCTTCTGCTTCTGCCTTCCAAGGGCTGGGATTCCAGTGTGTGCCGCCACACCCAGTGTATGTGCTGGGAGTTGAATCCCAGCCTTCAACTACAGTAGGTAACCCTTCTACCAGCTGAGCTGCATCCCTGGGCCCTAAAGAACTGTTTTAAGATAAATCTATGATTTACTATCGGTAACTGCTTGACTTACATATCTATTTTATATACTGCTATCCTCAGGATCATGAAAAAACTTCTCGGGGGAGGGGGGGGAAGAGGAGACAGAGCCAGGGGGCTGGGTACCCCATCAGTTAGAGCTATGGTAGTCAGTCAGGGGAGAGCTGCTTTGAGCCTGAACTGAGGTGGCAGTGAAGATGGTGACCTAGGGACAGATGTGAAAACATCTGTTTTCACGGGAGACACTTTACATGGATCCTACGTAATGTTTGCCTTCGGACTGCACAGGAGTGGAAGGAGACAGAAATGAGAGGTGACTTGCAAGTGTCTGATGTTGGTGACTGTGGAGGTAGCCACCTGAAAGGGCAAGGACTCAAGTGAACCAAGGGTGGGGGTTCTCACAGAGATGCTACAGTGTCCCTGGGATCCCTGATAATGAAGCTGACAGGGGGTTTGTTAGTTAAATACTCAAGTCCAGACACCTGAGAAGATGTGGGCTGAAAATGCAAATGAGGGTTCAGGACACAGAGTGGTTTGGAAGGTAAGGGGTGGGTGAGATTCCCTAGCAGAAGAAGGAAGCAGAGGGAAGATCTAAGTCCAAGTCTCAGTGGACAGCAGGCTTCCTCCCCCTCTCCTCCTCTTCCCTCCGACATTTGGTCATTCTCTTTACTGTACACTTAACTAAATTTTAAATTGAATGTACTTAGTGGGACAGGGGTGAGAGGACAAGCCATGAGTGTCGCTTCTCTCCTTCCACCATGTGGGCCCAAAGATCGAAATCACGCCCTCAGGATGGTGGCAGAGTCTTTCCCCGCTGGGCCACCTCACTGGCCCTGCTGTTCACATATTTTCTCCATTTCTTCTACTCCCACTTGAGACTTCAGCTCCAGGACTTAAGTCTCAACATTTCCCTGAAAAGCTTCTGAATGACCTCCATTTTAGGTTTCTGCCCTCCCTGCCATCAAAGACAGGTTCTCTTTTCTGCCTTCTCCTTCTGAGCAATTGACAGGCTGTGTGCCCAGCTCAAGTCTTAGACCAGAACACCTAGGAGGCCCTCCCTAAACATTTCTTCAGTAGGACACATGACACCGATGTCTCACTTCTATGTAGCTCCTCCATCAGAGTCCTTAAGCAAGGGAACGGAGGACTCAGGACAATTAACCTTAAGTAATGAAAGCGGAGAAAGTCATTCTCCGTGAGTCTTTCTAGAAAACAACAGGTCAGTGGTCTCTGAGGAGGCGCAGCCTAGAGATCAATTTTTCCAACAATGGTGATGCAGGCTGGACATAATGTCCCACTCAGGCTTGTTGGTTAACCTGTTTCTAATAAGTTACCTTCTGGTTGAGAGAGAGGTGAGTTAGACAATTCTTGGTTCCTTAGGTTCAATTACTTATTAATATGTTAATTTGCCCGCTTTCTACTCAGATAGTGTCTTTTTTGTTTTTTTTTTAAATCTTAGAGGCATAATAGGAGTTTACCATCCATTTATTATTCCCAGCATCTTCAGAAAACGAATAAAAATGAGCCCACAACAAGCCCACAGCTGGGCACTCATGAACTTGAAACAACTTCTTTGTATGAGCTGATCTAGATCCATCAACTGCCGCCTTCCCCGCCCACAGAGCAGCTGCTCAGGGTCACCTCCGTCCCCCAAACCCCAACCTGACCTCCCTGCAGAAATCCACCCTCCTTCTGGGCCACCCGTGGGTGCCCAGATTGGAAGTCTAGATAGCATCTCACCAGACCCTGTTCCCTGCCTGCCCCCACCTCCCTTTCTCCCTTGAGACAGGGTCTCTCTACATAGTTCTGGCTGGCTTGGAGCTCACTGTGTAGACCTTGCTGGCCTTGAACTCACAGAGATCTGCCTGTCTGCCTCCTGAATGCTGGGATTAAAGCCTGCACCACCTCTCTCTCTCTCTCTCTCCTTGACCTCTCTTTGCCTCCAGTGCTGGCAAATTTTCTGTACTTTGTCTCATAGGCCTCACTTCTCTGTTGTTCCTAGAGCCTCTCAACTAGAACTCTGGTCTCCTCACTGCCCTCCATTAGTCCTCCTCAGGTGTAGCAAATGGCTAGAAACTCCAGATATATCTGTCCTGTAAAAGGAACTTTTATTCTCCTGAGGTAGTTGTTGTCTCCTTCTGCTAACTTAGGCCTACTCCTGGAAGCTTCTGGCCTCCATACAGTCTAATCTAGGCCCAGAATATTTTCAGCCTCTGAGACTTACTGCTGAATAAGCTCACCCTTCTTGTTCTTACTGAGCTCTGCGCTGGCTGGTTCAACTCAGCTGTTCTGGCTCAAATTCCTGTCCTAGCTGACTTATTAAATGTTGCTTTCCTCTGGGCCTCTGAATTGCTCTTCTTGACCCCAAACTAACTCCAGCAATCTGCACTAATCTCCTGGCTCCTTCTCATTTTCTGGCTCTTTTCATCTTCAGCTGAGTTCCCTCTCTGAAAACTGTCTCTCTATTACTGTCTAGGTAAAACGGTCTCCTCTCCCTCTGCATTGCCCCACAAGTAGCTTCCCTTTCCTCTCTTTTCTCATGAGAGTTGAGGTATCCTATTCTGTCAAGTCTTTCTCTGATTCATCACTGTTTCTGCCACTCAATCAGACATCACTTTCAAACGTGGCTGCTTCCTTCTACAAACTGATGTTACTTTCATTGTTTGGGATTAATGGCGTGTACTACCACGCCTGGAGCTTTTTTTGAAACTTGTTCTGTACCAGGCTGGCCTTGAACTCAGATATGCTAGCCTCTGTCTCCTGGATTAAAGGCATGTCTGTATTCCAGCAGGTTCACACAGACCTAGAAGGTCTTTGGATGTGATCTCTTGCCAGAACAGCCATGTTTTGAATTAACATTCCTCTACAGATATATCTGTCCCATCACTTTTCTTAAACAAAGAAACAAAAATCCAGGCAAACTTTTATAAAACTAATACTCGACGACTACTTGCTAACTCTGTGGCTAATTCTTCAATATACCATTGGGCTAAATCCTTGCAAGTGGCCTGTGATGGCTAATCCTGGTTGTCAACTTGGGTGGACCTGGAATCAACTAAAATACAAGGTGCCATAAACTTCCATGGGGCACTTCCTTCACCAGATTTCTTGAACTGTGAAGACCCACCCTGACCACCTGGGAAGTCTCTTCTATTATTACAGGGTATTTGCTTCATCACCTATTACTATTTCATTCCTTTGTTTCCAGGCTAGTTCCCTCCATGGAATGTAGGTTGCACCATGGCAAGGATCACGTCCAGTTTGTGCCTCTGAGCTCCAGGGGTTATCAGTGGTCCAGGCACTTAGGAGTTATTCCACAAGGAGGGGAGGAATAAAAGACTATGAGCCACCTCAGCACACTGTGGCTAATGTCTGTGTACTATAGGGCTTTTTTTCTAGCCTCTCCTCACCGTCAGCACACAGAGCCCACGGTGTTAGTCTTTAATGGTCATTATTTGGGGCTACCTGGCAGGAATCCTCTCCAGTTATCTTCAGCTTAGGTCTCCTGTGAGTCGTCCTTCTTTCCAGGGCCCAGTCATGGCTTTTTCCAGGGCCTCCTCCACTGGAAATACATTTTAAATCTCGCTCTGCACTGCACTGAGTACTTTTTGCGATTGAAATCAGAACATCAGAACATCTCCGTGAGCCCTAGACACTGTCCTCAATGGACGGGTGCTCAGTTCGCAGTGGCACTGGACAAGCAAAACTAAGCTCACCGAGGTCTTTATAGCAAGTTGAAGTCTGCTTGCTCTTCCGAGTGAGACCCTGTCTCAAAAAGAAAAAAAAAAAGTGACTGTTGAAAAAAGTTTTTTCTCTCTCTGTCTTTCTTTTGGTTGTTGTTGTTGTTGGAAATTTTCTCAGCAGATGTAAAAACTTTTGAGACTCAACCAGTCCTGCTTTTGAGAGATCCTTCAAGGCTTTCCCCTGTGCCCAGCAGGCTAAAGTATAGGCCCCGCCCCGTGTAGCCACTCCCCCACCAACTCCGCCTCCCGGGCCTTTAGTGAAGTCGGGCGCACGGCCCAGAACTACGCACGCGCTCTTCTATTTGTCGCGTCCTGCGCACGCGCAGTGAGGACGCGCGGCAAATATGGCGGGCCCAGCGCCGAGTACAATTATGGCAGAAGACTACTTCGGGAATGCCTCAGAGTGGGGCGAAGAGGCGGACGGCGGCCAGGTGAGAGGGCAGTAGGCATCCCTCCAGGAGGCCGGTTCTCTGCCCTGTCCTCGCGGCGCCTGCGCCGGCCAGACCCGGGTACGGGGGGTGTGAACGCTGGGGTCACAGCTGTCCTGCTGACCCCGACCTCCGACCCCGGGCCAGTGAAGCGGGCCCAGGAACTGCACTGAGAACTTCGGGCCGGTCCTGCCCCTTCGGGGACCTCTGCACTCTGACTCCCACTGATTCCCAGGCTGACTTGTCTGCCAGGCAAGAGCCATGGTGCTTCTCGGCCCGAGCAGCAGGACAGACTCCAAGGGAGAATTGGACTAGAGTGAAAAAACTCTTAACTCCAAATTCCAGCAGCACCCCAGAGAAAAAGAACTCTCTGGTGCTAAGCAAACGAAACTTTGTGTTTTCACTTTTGAGTGATTTCATCCATCCTTACAGCCCCGACGCTCCCAAGGTTTGGGGTGAGAGATGGGGGTGTGGCACCGTATAGGTACCCAGCAAACACCTGGATTAGGAAGTCAGAGACCCGTCTAGGCGGATGATTGACATAAGCTTCCCATGTCCTTTTGGGCGGTGTACAGGGAGCCTGGGAATTTGCTTTTGTTGTTGTTTGTTTCTTACAGAAAGTGAATTGAGTTTTGAATGAATATAGCATGGAGTGAGGAGTACCAGGGGAGGAGTCTGGTGCAGTGAGGGCGTACAGAAAAGGAAAGGGGTTTCTGGGACTGAAACTATGTTGGTAGAACAGGGCTTGTCAGCCATCGGTAGCAGCCTTCAGGGGTCCTGGAAAACTCCTGACCAATAGGGCTTGTTTAAGACACTGGGCGTCTGTTTGTGTGCTAGAGCATCCTACATCCCTTGGGGACTTTGTGGATGTTATATGGAGTCAGATTTAGCTAATTAGGATGCAGGGCTAAGTGATTTTTTTGTGATATCTCATTCTATTGCTCTAGAGCCAAAATTCTCAACTTGGGACCCACCAACACTTTCACAGCGGTTGCATATCATTTCAGTTCATAACAGAAAAGTATAGTTAGGAAATAGCAATGGAAATAATTTTATAATTGGGGGTCACCACAATGTGAGGAACTGTATTAAAGGGTTGCAGCATTAGGAAGGTTGAGACCTACTGTTGTAGAGTTTGAATTGACTGTTGCTCATACAAAGGCAAAAAGACTCAGTAACCTGCCCAGGGCTGTAGTAAAGGAAGGGAGATTCAGAATGGCATCCATTACGCCTGTCACTGCTGAAGTCACTCAGTCACTGAGGTGGTCCAGATGAGAGAAATATAAGGTGTGGGAGATAGCTCAGCAAGGAATGTGCTTGCCACACAAGCATTACATCCTGAGTTGGGAAACTGGCACCCATATAAAAGGCCAGACACAGCAGCACTTGTATATGGGGCTCTGGGGGCTCCCTGGAGCTCCCCAGCCAGCCAGTTGAACGAATCAGTGTGGTGGAGAGTGACTGAAGAAGGCAGCCAGCCTTGACCTCCAACAATCTACACACAGATAATGTACACACAGGAACACACAGACCACACAGGCATGAGAAAGTACATGGTGGATTAGCTCGGTGATTGTTTTCCATGTTTTGTGCCTGTTGAGTGTTAGGGGTGGCAGGGTCTCACCTAGAGTCCACTGAATTTCAGTCTTAATGACCTTGGGCTGACCTATTAGCCCTAATGAGGTCTCCCTGATGAGAGTGCTAAGCAACTTAGGTGTCCTGAGGTACATAATTATGAATGAGATCCAACATATTTGTAGATGGGAATGCCACAGTGCAGTGCGAAAACACTGGCTACCCCTGCGTGTACACACTTGGCTTCTATCTGTTCTCTGACTGTACTTGGAGGAGCAATAAGTCCGGAGAGCTGGAGGATGATGGCATGAGCTGCGTCCGTCTTCCATGGTCTGAGGGCAGGAAGCCTATAGGGAGCCTATGGTGCTGTTGAGTCCAGATGATGGAAGCTGAGAACAGTTCATTTATAGACACATAGATTAGTTGGGCTGCAGGTTGCATGTGGGGATGACAATGGGTGAGACTGCTGAGGTTAGCAGGCCAGAGTCATACTAGAGCTTGGCATCCCCGCCCCCCCCCCCCCCCAACCCCCTTCCCTTCCCTTAGAGAAATAGGAAACCAAGCAGCTAGATCAGATTTGTGACTTAATGAGGGTAGCATCGATGTGAAAGGTGATTTCAGGGGATGATAGATTGAGGCTTGTGGAAATGTTGCTAGAGTAAGCATACAAGAAAAAAGGAAGAGGAAAGAAGAGCCAAACTGGACCCTTGTGTGGGAGATGAAATGGTGGTCTTGCTGGCAGGATGTGGGAGGGACATGAGAGGAGAAGAAACTGAGTGGGTGACAGGTGGATGATGGGAGGAGTCCTTTTGTGGACCAAAAAGACAGGATCACTTGGACTTCCAGAGTTTGGAATCCTGCTGGAATGTTGAGTGGAAAGAATAGTGTTGCATGCTTGAATCTGGAGTGGTCAAGACAGATCCAGGTGAGGTTGTAGACTCATGAGCATGCTTTGGTGTCAGAGAAATATTGTTGGGGTGGGTAGAAGCCTAGCAATGCCGACACGTGAGTGGCTTTCAGGGTGAAGCGTAGCCTTTTCTAAGCACCCTTTACAGATGTGGGCTAAGACAATACACTCTGGTTGTTAGAATGAAGTTGGCGGACTCCGTCTGCCCTCAGCACATGGCTTTCATATAGCGCAGACCACTGGGGCAAAGTTCCTGCAAAGAAGCACATGGTATGTATCTTAGGCTGTGTGGGGCTGTGCCACAGCTACTTAACCAGAGTAGGGAAAGTGGTGATGGATAATAATACATGAGAGTGAATATGGTTGTGTTTCAATAAAGCTTTATTTACAAGAACAGGAAGAGGACTGAGTTTGGCCTTTTTTTTTTTTTTTTTTTTTTTTTTATTCCTTATCCCATTTTGTAAGTTGCTTGGAGGCTGGCCTCCTTCCATGGAAACCCCTCATCTTATATTTTCTACATTCCCAGACTCAGTGCAGTCACTGTTACAGAGCTTCTGGTTGTTGTTATGACAACAGCTTTGCAGACAGACAGACCAGGGATCACTCAGTCCACCATACCACGCAGTTGTCAATAGGTCAGGCAGCCTGGGTGGGTTCGGCCTATGGTGGTATCCAGCTAGAAGCAGGGCCAGATCCAGTGAGGCCTGCTGATTCGAGGCTGATGTTGACTTTCTAAGTGTAACTAGGTGGCTCCTACTGCCAGAGTCACTTTGGTAGTCTTTGTTGGAGAGTGTCGGGCAGCACACGTGGGGTAGCAGTGGTGGCGGCCATTGAGCCGATGTCAGGTGTTATTCTTGGCCCTCCCATCAGTTGGCTCAGGGACTACTCACAAGTGCTGACTGGAGCAGCATCATGAGTGCCTTTAGTAGTGCACGCTGACACCACCATGGGCTCCCCGGACAGCCTGTTTGGTGTGGTTCCTGATCCCTTTGAAGCTGCCACTTGTCCAGCCCACATCCTGAGGTTGTTACAGCGTCGGATGAAATCACATGTGCGCCGCTTTGAAAGTGGGCAGCATTACAGTCTAAGGCAAGACTGCAGGGCATTTATGTTAAGGAAAGCTGTCTGGACTCTTGCCTTCCCCAGCAACAGGAAGATGATTCTGGAGAGGGAGAGGATGATGCCGAGGTGCAGCAGGAATGTCTGCATAAGTTTTCCACCCGGGACTACATCATGGAGCCCTCCATCTTCAACACTCTGAAGAGGTGTGTGGGAGCAGTGTGCAACTTATGACTGGGGAGGGTTTTGTAGTGCAAAGAATGTGGTCTTGGAATGGAAGACTTCTAGAGTCCTTGGCCCCTTAGAAGAACCTGACACCACCCCTCAACCCCTGCCTTTCTCCTGTTCTCCTGTCCATCCCAGCTCCTCTGTGTCCACTCAGTATAAAACCCCTTTTGCTCTTCCCAGGTATTTCCAGGCAGGAGGGTCTCCAGAAAATGTCATCCAGCTCTTGTCTGAGAACTATACAGCGGTGGCCCAGACTGTCAACCTGCTGGCTGAGTGGCTCATTCAGACAGGTGCTTGGGAGGTGGTCCCTGTCCTGGCCACTTAGGTTATGTGTGCATGTGTATATGTATGTATGTGTACATATATGTGGGTGCGGGTGCGTACGTGTCTCTCTCTCTCTGTGTGTATGTGTGTGTGTGTGTGTGTGTGTGTGTGTGTGTGTGTAGGTCCAAGGCTGAGTTTGGGATTCTTCTTGGGTTGCTTTATTACTTTATTCATTAAAGTAGGGTCTCAGTCAAACCCAGGGCTTGCTGATATGACTCTCTAGCCAGCTTGCTCTAGGGATCCTGTCTCTGCCTTCTGAGTGCTGGAATTACAGGTGGGCCACCATGCATACCTGGTGTTTATGCATGGGTTCTGGGCACCCACATTTTGGTCCCCATGTTTGCATAGCAAGCACTTTAAGTACTGAATAATCTCCCCATCTACTCATACCCTTCCAGAGACCTGCAGGTCCTCACAATGCTGATGCATTTGTGGTACCTTGTGAACATTCCTGGTTTCCAGGACTCGAAGGCAGAAGGACTGACTTCTCCCCTCTGTGTGCCCAGCTCTGAGCTGTGACTCAGTTGCTGGATTTGCAGGTAGCCTGTGAATGGGATTCTCATTGAGCTGCTTCTCCAACCATAGAATTACAGGGTTACATAGTGTGCGCTCAGTGTTTCCTTTCAAGAGGCCTGTTACAGCCAGCACTAAATGATGGATAATTTAGGACTGGCTCTGGTGATGGCTTTTAGCTAATGTGATCAGAACAGAGCCTTACTGTAAATCCACTGAATTGGGTACAGTTACGTCATTCAAGAACTGTCCGGAAGCCAGCTGCCTCACTGCTGTCAGGGTGGCTGGCCCATGGTGTGGCTGCTGGTTGCACCTGCTCTCTCCACAAGGACAGAGTGTACTTTCCAGCCCCTCACCTGTTGGCTCTGGCTCTCTGTCTTTGATGAGTGAGAGTTTGAAGATGTCTCTCCTGGCCATGCAAAAAGGGTAGACATCTCATGGACTCTATACTGTGTTGTTTCTTTTGGGGTGTTACCACTGAATAGGCCTAAAAACAATTTCTAAGGGGTCCAGAATATTCACCACTGTTGTGGGTAGAGCTCCGTGCCACTACAGACTGGCCATGCTGTTTCTGTGGTGATGGTGGGGCTGCAGTAAAGCTTCCATTCCCTCCCAGGTGTTGAGCCAGTGCAGGTGCAGGAGACTGTGGAAAACCACTTGAAGAGTTTGCTGATCAAGCACTTTGACCCTCGGAAAGCAGATTCTATTTTCACCGAAGAAGGAGAGGTGAGGAGCACTGTCCTTGGCGGAGCATCCCAAGGCCTTTGCCAACTGCTGAGGCTAAGAGAGGCCCCACTGTATCTCCCCAACTCCTTGTGTAGGTCTGGGCCTAGAAGGCTCCTAGGGGGTCCTCCGAGAAACAAGCACTGATAAGCATTAGGCTCACAGGAAACCATGGAGCAGAATGTGTACAGACTGACGATCCAGTCTGTGGCTTAGTCCCCGAGGGAAGAAAGAAGGTGTAGAAATATCACAGAGCGTGCTGGAGCTTTTAGGCTTTGCCTCAGGACCATCTCAAGTGACCATCTGCTGTGGGAGCCCCACTGTGCTCAGGCAGTGGGGAGCAGCACTGGACCCCCATGTGGCACAGTCCATCAGTCACACAGGGGAGTCAAGAGACACACTTTCATGGGTGCTATACATGGTGAGGGGTAGAAACGCCCATGCTGTCCCAGTTGCCTTTTCTCTTTCCTGCTAAGGGCACAGGGCTTGGTAAGCATGAGCTAATTGCTTAATTGTACTTGCTGTGGCTCCAAGAGATACATGTTTCCATCGGACTTTTCATGTGTCTTCCAGGAAGTGTTTCTGTATCCTCTCCAGTTAGGCAGGTTTATTCAAAAGTTGTGATCACGAATCCAGGAAGTGTACCATTCAGCTGACTGCATGGCCAAGATGAGCCCAGCTTCTTCCAGAGATGGGAACGCCCATGGGTCTCCCCTGATTGGAACGACGGCTTATGCAGCAAACTTCCAGGACTTAAGTGCAGTCTTTGGCCTTGTCCTTTGTTATTGGCAGACTCCAGCTTGGCTTGAGCAGATGATTGCACACACCACATGGAGAGACCTGTTCTATAAGCTGGCTGAAGCCCATCCTGACTGTCTAATGCTCAACTTCACAGTGAAGGTAGGGAGAGTCCTAGAGCCCAGCAAAGATCAGAAAAGAAGGTCAGCTCTGCTGTCTTCCTGGTAGAGTTCTCCTTGGTGGGGTCTTCATCCTGTCCCTTTCATCAGTCTCACACTGAGTAAGGAAAGCAGAGAATTTGTGTCCATGTTAGGTCAGCACTGACTATTTCAATGTTGGGCACAAGGGATTTTAGATTGTGCGTGTGTGCTAACGGGCCGCAGGCAGACCTGACCTATCTGCCTCTTCAGACACCAAGGCCCAGAAGACACAGTGAGTCTGGGCGAGTGACCACCTATGTGGTGGCACAGCAGGAAGCATAGGAGAAGCCGAGGGTCAAGACCAGTGCTTGCTTGGCTCACTCATCCTAACAGCTGACTGGCCAACTGCCCTGAAAGGTGGGGTCCCCAGGTGCTGAGCCTTGGCTTTTGGGTTGTGTGGCAGCTTATTTCTGATGCGGGGTACCAAGGGGAGATCACCAGTGTGTCCACAGCCTGCCAGCAGTTGGAAGTCTTCTCCAGAGTGCTTCGGACCTCTTTGGCCACCATCTTGGATGGAGGAGAAGAGAACCTGGAGAAAAATCTCCCTGAGTTTGCAGTAAGTCACTCAAGAGTCTCAGGCTAAGGTACTGGCCCCTGAGCATGAGATGCCTCCACTCTGTAAAGCTTCTCCAGGTCAGAAAGCCCCTAGCCAGAAACTCCTGGCTGCCTTTATCACTGTGACCTGAACTTTGTCTCCCTGCAATTTTCTAGAAAATGGTGTGCCATGGAGAGCACACATACCTGTTTGCACAGGCCATGATGTCCGTGCTGGCCCAGGAAGAACAGGGTGGCTCTGCAGTGCGCAGGGTTGCTCAGGAAGTCCAGCGCTTCGCCCAGGAGAAGTGAGACATGCTTCTGCTTGCCCATCTCCCCACCCCCACCCCCTTCCCCAGAAAGACCCTAGTCCACAGCTCAGCCTCCAGCTCAATCAATTCTAGGTCAGTTCTTATCCTGTGGAGCTTCTAATGCCCAGGCCTTGTTGGCCTTGATGGCAGCTCTTTTGCTTAAGGACACGATTGCTCTGGTAGGCCGGGGCTGGGTGTGTGCACTTGTGCTTACATGTGCTAGGATGCATTGACAATAAGATAGTCCAGACCTAGTTTCCAGTGCCCTGCTTGCTTATGGAGGCCAAGGCACTTCATTTTCTGCTGTTGCATCCTCCCTGTTGAGGTATGCAGGGTGTGTGAATCCCTCGTGGGGGCTGTAGCTATCCTGGGGTCTTGCGCAGCTCACTGTGGCTAAAAGGAGTGAATGTCAGAACTGTTGCAAGCCCAGGGGTCCTGCCAGCTCAGTGTCCCATGCTTAAAAGTGAAAGAAAAGAGAAAGCTGTTAGTGATGGTGTGTGGTTTTTCAACAGAGGCCATGATGCCAGTCAGATCACGCTGGCCTTGGGCACGGCTGCCTCCTACCCCCGGGCCTGCCAGGCGCTTGGTGCCATGCTGTCCAGGGGAGCCCTGAATCCTGCAGACATCACAGTCTTGTTCAAGATGTTCACCAGCATGGACCCTCCTCCCGTGGAGCTCGTAAGCTTCCTGTGCTTCAGTGAGGCCAGGTGGTCTTCAGAGGCCTCCCCTCACTCTCCTAAGGCCACACATGCTGATCCTTGTTGAAGTAGTTTTTATTGCCGTTTTCAGAGACAAGGCCTCACTCTCTGGTCCAGGCTGGTCTCTAACAGAGCCAGCCATCCTGCCCTAGCTTCTCTGATTGCTGGTGGTTACAGGCATGGCTACACCTGGTGTAAGCCCTCCTTCCAACCTCTGGCCCTACTGGAATTGAAGCCAGGGACTGTCATATGCTAGGCAAATGTTTCCCCACACAGGTACATCCTGTGCCACCGAACTATCAGTTTCCATTCTGCCCTTCAGCCTTCCCCATCAGAGCCCTACAGCTGGGTAAGCCAGGGCCTCCCTCATCCAGCCCACTCCCAAGTGTCCTCTTCTTAGATCCGGGTGCCAGCTTTCCTGGACCTGTTCATGCAGTCACTCTTCAAGCCTGGGGCCAAGATCAACCAGGACCACAAGCACAAGTACATCCACATCCTGGCATACGCTGCCAGTGTGGTGGAGACCTGGAAGAAGGTATGGTGAGGTTCGGCCGCAAGAATCCTTGAGCCTCCCCAGCACTGCACAAGCTAGTGAAAAGACACGGTGCCTGCAGGATTGTGGGCATCTCCTACACTGTGACTGGCTAGTAGAATGAAACTTCCTTCAACTGCCAGAACAGATTTGACTTTTGACTGTGGAGACAGAGAAAGGGATATGGAGGAGAAAGAGGGTCATGCTGGGGTAACAGCAAGCCGCCCCCCCCCCATCATTCACCAGCTTGTATGTTTTCAGAATAAGCGGGTTAGCATTGGCAAAGACGAGCTGAAGTCCACATCCAAGGCCATTGAAACTGTCCACAATCTGTGTTGCAATGAGAACAAGGGGGCCTCTGAGCTGGTCGCTGAGCTGAGCACCCTCTATCAGTGCATTAGGTGAGTGTAATGCCCATTCCTCATCTGGTCCTGGGAGTGCCAAGTCCCCGTGTCCCTACAGTTAGAGCACCCACTCTCACAGAGAAAGCAAGAGGAGCTTGGTTTCTCTCTTAAATATTCGTGGGGAACTTTAGGCTTCTGTGGCAGCAAGAGTGTCATTTGGTGATTGGCCAGAAATCTGTCCAGCAGACCCTCACAGAGTAGACTAAGTAAAGAAAGGACATTGAGATTTAGGAAAACTGATTTGAAGGGTGGGCTCATTTGTAATCAGACAATTAAGCCAGCAAGCATTGCCTAGATAGCGATGACTTGTGGCTAAGCCACTTGCCTCTTTCCCATTTCCTGGGGGACCAAGAAAGGGTCTGAAGTAAAGGTAAGCTTGAGCCCAGGCTGTCAGGCACCGAGCTTTGCATTGATGATTGTTTCCTTTGCCATTAGTGGAGGGGGTTGAAGGAACTGGGAATCAAATCCCTGCTCAGAGGAGCTGGTCTCCTCAGATCACTTCCACCATGAGCCACTCCTGCAGGCCAGAGCAAAGAGGGTGGGTGCTGCTGTGTCTGTTCATAATCCCAACCCCTGAGTACTCTTTGACATGTTTCAGCCTTCGTTTTCCTACTCTTGGTCAAAGAAAGCCTTGTACCTTGTCTGCCTGTAGGTTTCCAGTGGTTGCGATGGGAGTGTTAAAATGGGTAGATTGGACTGTGTCGGAACCAAGGTACTTCCAGCTACAGACTGATCACACTCCGGTTCACCTGGCCTTGTTGGATGAGGTGAGAGGGCAGAAGGGCCCTTTGGGAGGTGTGTGTCTAGGACCTTAGTGCTGGTGTATCTGTCAGCTTTATCAGTGTCAGGAGAGGCTCTCTTCAGAGCTGGTGCATGGTGTCCTAAGTGAGGCTCTTCCTGTCAAGGACCTAGTTTCACTGACTGTTGATGTGTGTTGTCAAGGGTCAGGGGAAGGAAGGCATAGAACATGCCAAGTGGTGCCGCCTCGGGTGGCTGTGACAATCCTGTGCTCTCCATGTGTGCTGCTAATAAGCCCAGAGAGCTGGCAGGCGCCTCAGTGACGCTCCTCTGCTCTCCACAGATCAGCACCTGCCACCAGCTCCTGCACCCCCAGGTTCTGCAGCTGCTTGTTAAGCTTTTTGAGACCGAGCACTCCCAGCTAGACGTGATGGAGCAGGTGAGTTGCGCCCGAGGGCTTCTCTCGGGGCGGGAGAGTCACAGCTCTGACCTGCTCCCTTGGCCCTGCTCTTCCACAGCTCGAGTTGAAAAAGACCCTGCTGGACAGGATGGTCCACCTGCTGAGCCGTGGCTATGTACTTCCTGTGGTCAGTTACATCCGTAAATGTCTGGAGAAGCTGGACACTGACATTTCACTGATCCGCTACTTTGTCACTGAGGTCAGCAGCACCTTTGGGTTCACCGTTCACTCTTTCCACTAGCCCAGCCCTTCTGGTTTAATGTCACCCATGCATTTCCCAACTCTTTGAGATCCATGCTTTTGTTAATCGTATACCTCTCCTGTGGGACCTCTGCTTTGCCCTCTGCACTATGTCCTGTGCCTTAGAGTTGGAGGCTGGGGTGGTCTCCAGGGAAGCCCTGAGGAGGGCCTCTCACACTCTCTGCCACCTCATGGCCTGCCACTGAGTGCTGTGCCCCATGCCAGCAGGTACAGTAACCCTGGGGTCTCCCCACTAGGTTCTGGACGTCATTGCCCCACCGTACACCTCAGATTTTGTGCAGCTTTTCCTTCCCATCTTGGAAAATGACAGCATTGCAGGCACCATCAAAGCAGAGGGTGAGCACGACCCTGTGACCGAGTTCATTGGTAAGTCCCTCTGGACAGCCCTCTGCCGTGATGGCCCACCCCGCTCCTCACCTGTAGTAACTCAGTGGCCCTGTGTTCCTGTACAGCCCACTGCAAGTCTAACTTCATCGTGGTGAACTGAGCATCCAGAGCTGAAGCTGAACCTTCTGGGCTCGGGAAGACTGGAGGACTAGTTCACGAAGCTGCTTTGTGAAGAAGGCTCAGCCAGCCTCCGGAAAGTGGGGTCTGCTGGGAGGGAGCAAGCAGCTTTTCTCAAAAGCACCGTGTTCACAGTGCCCAGGAGGAGCTGCTACGGTGGACAGCCCCCTCTTTGTTGCACTGTGTCCTGGCATCATGTGTTACATGCCAGAGCTGGCTGGCTGCACCTCTGGGGAGGAACCCATGGGCCTCTGAGTAGTGGGCTGGGACGCTTCCCTGAACTCCTTTTAGAGTTTATGTGTTTTCTACCTGTGACCCAGGTGGCTGGTTATTGGTTTAAATTTCCAAGAGTAATGCTGGGCTGGGAAGTGTGTGTCCTCATGTACTGTCCCATGTGAATAAAATGCACAAGCTCAGAGCTTGGGTGAAGCCAGATACTTTACTCATCCCATAGGCAGTCTGACCTTGTTCCCCCTCCCATGGATTCCAGGGTGACATCAGAACTGGTGAGAAGTGTGAACTGTCCCAGCCCACAGCTGTCTTCTCCAGGTGGCTAAAGGCAGAGAACTTCCGCGCAGGTGTGCTTCATCCTTTGCCATCTCCAGGATAGCTGCTGCAGTACACTCTCTGGTCCTCACACCCACAGCACTGTCTCTAGCTGGCCAGTGGCCAGTGTAGGTAATCATCCCCTCCCTGTCGTGGTCCACAGTGTTGCTTCCAGGAACATCTACCTAAACAATGGGGTCCCCAAATGTGCAGGCCTCCTCAATAGCTAGGTTGTAGCTGGCACCGGCCCCTCCCTTGTAGGTGCTGGTCACGATCCTCATCCAGCCTCTCTCACCCTGTGGGGAGCAAGAACTCCATGTTAGTGCCTTAGGACATGGCCCCTGCTCACCTTTCTATTCTGCAGATCATGCCCCGCTCTTAGCCACCATCTTCAGCTTAGCCCTGCAGAACCTGAGGGTGAAGACCACATGAGCAGCAAAGCTCTATGCTATGGTGTTGGCTAATATTTGACCCAAGGGCGCTCTTCAGGCACCTAAATAATGTAAGAAAACATGTGACTGTCTCTATTAATACCCGACTGTGGCCATTCAGTAAATAATGGCTGGCATTTTATCATTGTCCATTTCTCCCTATTTCAGGGTATTCCTGTGTCTGAAATGATGAACAGTTAATACTGTGTCCTAAAAACCAAAACCAGCAGTTTTGCTCCCTGGAATTTTGACCCAACTCAGAAGTATTCTTGAACAACATAGCAGAAGTGAGGATGAGCTCCCCAAGGAGTGGGCAGCCAATCGCCACCATCAGGACCACTTGGCCTGTTTGCCTTTGCCTATTTCTCAGTGCTCAGGGTTGCTCAGGCTGGGGCTTGGGTGGAGCCACTGGCACCTCAGGGGTTGCTAAACGCCCAGTGATGCACAGGGCAGCAGCAGCAGCAGCCCTGTACAACTCAGATCAGACCCCAGAAGCTGCCTGTGTCCTGGCTGACCACCGCAGTCAGCCCGCCCTCCACACAGCTAAGGAGGGGTATGGACTCTGGTCTGGCCTTAAGAAAGGGAAACTATCTTACCCAGGGTTCACCCCATGAATTGCGGACAATCCAATACTCTATTCCATCGCTGCTGACACCCCATCCAGCTACCGAGACGATGTGGTTGATAAAGGCCTGGTCCTGGTGCTCAGCATAGATGCCTCCAGTGTAGTTAGCCATCCTCTCTGTCGCCATTATCCCGCAGCTGTGAAAAGTCATCAGTTATCAAGGCAAGAAGCACATCAGCTCTTGTTGACTTGGGCTGCAGTAGTCCGAGGCCTGTTGTAGTGGCCTCATCAGCATCCAGAAGCACAGCCAGGGCTTCTCTACCTAGCTTACACAGATGTTCCCTGGAGCAGGTTGGCTCATAGCTCATGTTTACTTCTGAGAAAGCCAGCCTCTTTACAGGCAAAGAAGATTAGGAGGTGCTCAAGATAGGGGATTGAACTGGCCAGGTGAGAAGGGCGAGGTGTAAGCATGTGCATAGACCCAGACGTGGCCTGACCACTTCCTGAGGGGACCTCTCCCTCACCTGATGGGACCATTGGCGTAGATCTCTGCCATCATCTTCTCTCTGCCTGACAGGGAGCCGTAGTCACCCACTCTCCAGAGGGTATAATTCTGGATGGTGTGGCACTCTTTGAATTCAGTGCAGGTCCCACACTGGTTAAACTTGTCACAGTCTAGAACACAAGAAGTCAGCATGACGCCGTCTCCTCATTAACCCACTAATGAAGCCCGCCCCATCTTCTCCACTTTTCTAATTTAGCCCTACATTCATTAGCGGATATCGGAAACCATTCAGCTCTTAGGTGCTGCTTAATTATGCGCTTCTCCCAGCTGCAAAAGAGTAATGAAAAGCCTCCCCAGGCCGGGTAGAACAGAAAGAACTTTGATTAGTACGTAGTAGGCACTCTGAAGTGGCCCTTCTCTTCCTTAAAGGCAGTGAGGAGGACCTCACAGCATGTTGTAATTGAAAACTGAGTGCAATCAAATTATTAAAATGTAACCAGATCATTCCACTGCTGGCTAGTGATTGAACAGGCCAATATACTTGATTTAAAGAAATACATCCTTTTGTTACTTGGCTTGAGAAGGATCAGAATTTGATTTACAGGAATAGCCAAAGCAATCCTAAGGAATAAGAACATTGCTAGAGGTGTCACATTACCTGGCCTCAAATTACACTACAGAGCTATAGTGACAAAAACTGGTGCTAGCATAGAAACAGACAGACAGATAGACAGAACAGAGAACCTAGAAATAACTGACAAAACTGTACCCCTTAATTCAAGACCAAGGAAGCAAGAACACACATTGGAAAAAGAGCCTATTCAACTAATGGTGCTGGGAAAACAAGATATCCCCCTAAGAAAAATAAAATTGAATTTGAACCTTTCATCCAATACAAAAATCAATTCTAATGGGTCCAAAGACCTCAACTTAAAAACTGAAACACAAACTACTAGACAAAAATATAGGAAATACCCTTAGGTTAGATGTGTAGGCTAGAACTTTCTGAATGAACACCAACAGCACAGGAATTAGCAAATACCAGATGAGACCACCTGACAATAAACATCTCTAAACAGCCAAAGAACACTCAGCAGAGCACACAGCACACAGAACAGGAGAAAATCTTTATCAGCTACACTTCAGACAAGGCTAACATCCAGAATTTACAAAGAACCGCAGATATTAAATAACAAGGAAATAAAACTGCCAATCAACAAGGGTCACATGCACTGAATAATAACAGTTTTTAAAAAATGGCCAAAACTATATTTAAAAGTAGGTCTGGGCATGGTGGTGTGCAGAGGTGGTGTGGTGGGAGACAGAGGTAGGAGGATCTCTGTCAGTTTGAGGCCTGGTCTACATAGCAAGTACCAAGAGAGCCAAGGTTACATAGTGAGACCCTGTCTCAAAAAAGGGGGAAAAAAGTCTTCAATGTCCCTAGTCATCAAGCCATCAAGGAAATGAAAATTAAAGCTACTTTGAGAAACTGCCTCATGCCAGTCAGAATGAGTGTCACCAAAAAAATCTGAGCACAAACGTTGGAGAGGATTTTGGGAAAAAGGAGCCCTTATTCACTGCTGGGGGGGGGTGGGGTGCGGAGGGAAAGGCAGTGCAAATTCATGCAGCCACTCTGAAATCAGTTTGGAAATGCCTCAAAACAGTTAAAAACAAAGCTAGCACATGACCCTGTTTCACCCCTGTGTGGATACCCTGAGAACCTCATACCCTACCATTGAGTTATTGGCACACCCATATTTATTGCTGCTTTATTCACTGCAGCAAAGACTTGGTATGAAACTAGTTGTCCATCAATGGACGAATGGATAATGAAAATCTGGTACACAGAAACTGGACTAGTATTCTGAAGAAAGTTGAAGTCACAAAGTTTGCAGGAAGAATGAACAGGCTTAGCATGTATAATGTTAAGCAAAGTGACCCAAACTCAGAAAGACAAAAAAAAAAAATGTTCATATGTAGATCCTGCCCATAACATACACATGCAAGGAAACAAATGCACACGTGTGTACAATGGAACATGGAAAGGAGAACAAGAAGGGATAATAAAAAAAAAGGGCAAAATGCTTACTAATGACATCACATATATAGGCCATTTTATGTAAGTCCTTTGTTCTTTCAAGGAGGAATCACACATTTTAAATACAGAATGCGCCCTCGATGGGCAGTGTGCAAGCGTGATTCCACATCGTGCACTGGAGGATCTGAGTAAATTATGCTTTATATTGAACTCTCCTACAGGGCACAGCTCCTGTAAGAACTACTAAACTTTTATTCGTTAAACAGAAATTTTGGCTGTCCAATTAACAGAATTCGAAGGTCACTACAGGTTGCTGAGAATAATCCAAATTTTGTAATTTCTGAGAATTCCTGGAAATAGTGATTCGCTGCACCCAAACCACAAAGAATAACATGCTGGGAATTTGGAAACCCTCAGAAACCTGCTACTTTACACTGTAGGTTCTAATTCTAAGATGTACCACTGTTGCTGAATAAATGCACTTTGTTTTTTTAAAGATGGAAAAAAAAATGGGCTTAAAGGCTGGGAAATCAGTCAGTAAAGTGCCTGCATAGCAGGCACGAGGACTCAAGTTCAGAGCCTCAGCACCCACATAAAGTCAGCATGAAGGTGCTTGTCCCAGTCCTGGGTGGTGAAGTCGGGGTCCTCTGAAGTCTGCTTGCCAGCCAGGCTAATGGATGTGCCCTGGGCACACCCGAGGCTGACTTCTGTATTGAAACTATCCATTTATCCAGATCCTTCCCTGGATCAGGAAACTCCTTGAGAATTACATCAAGAATTACATAATTCATCCCTCAGACACCAGTGTCCAGCCCTTAGGGAGGTCTAAGGATCAACACTTAAAGCCACAAAGGAGAGTTTGGGTCTGGGAGGGTTTTCCTCTTTAGTTTCCAAGGAAATCAGCCCCAAAGGAATGTGCCAACCATGGGTTTCTGGGCCAGGCTGCTCTGCCCAGGGCTGCTGGGGCAGGAACCAGGTTGGGGCTACATTTCAGATGGGCTGGCTAACCTGCAGCTCAGAGAGCAGCCATGCCATGGGCTCTCTGCTCCAGGTCCTGGGAAAAGGACACTTCTTTCCATCATCTGCTTACCAAAGGCCCATAAGACCATCCTAATGCCAGGTGTGAGAACTCACATTACACATCCAGTCCCTTTTTGCAGGGGTGGTGCTCCACTTTGTTTTCAAGACTGGAGGTTGAGCCTTAGGTTCTCACATGTGGTAGGCAAGCACCCCACCACAGAGCTACATCCCCAGTCTGGAGTTGTTCTTTCAGTATCTCTCCATGCTGAACTCAACAAGGACCTTAACCCACCAGGTTCAAAGTGACATCAAGTAAGCCTGGAGCCAGCACCAGGAACCACCTAGCCCCCTGGGGGCTGCAGTCGCCACCACCCCGACCCCCTTCAGCATGCCAGCCACAGTATGACAGATGTGGGGTAGACTTGGGCTCTCAGCCACTCTCCCTTGGAACAAGACAGAGAAGGTGCACAGCAATGCAGGAACATGGGCAGGGGCAGGGCCTACCTTGGTCCTTGGCCTGGTAGTTGTTGCAGGTCTCGTCAGGGATGCCGTGCTTATGGGCATACTCCCACACGGGAAGGTCATTGCCCCCTTCACAGGAGCCAGCATTGCCGCAGTCGATGACGTTCTGCACCGAGAGCAGGGTGGATGGCCATGCACCTTTCCTCTTAATGTTGATGCGGTCTGCAACAGTCAGCACCCTGTTCAGCACCAGACTCTCACACGCCACAGGGCTCTGCCTACTGGCTCTGCTATTTGTGGAGGCCTCAGCTCAACTGTGGCTTCAGAGACCTTCTCTGGTCCTCCTCAGGCACCATGATGTCTGTGTGTCTGTCTGCAAGTACCATAAGGCAGGGCCAGATCCAGAGGTCCCAAGAAAAACCTGCTAAGGCATCACTACAAGATGGCAACAAAACCTGCGTGACAAAGCTGCAGAACAGACACAGACCCTACGAAGAAGGTTGGAGCGGGCACCTCCAGGGATAAGCGCCGCCCAGGGAACCAGATGAGTCCCAGAGAGGGGTCGGACACCAACACGCAGTGCTCACGGTGCTGGGCCCACACACTAAGAGACTAGGATCGTCACAGAATCCACAAGGGGACGGCTGACCTGCATCCTTAAAAGCCATCTTGCTCTTCACTTTCAAGCTCTACACACCACCAGTCATGCACCAAGGCTCTGTCTCCTGTAGCCTCATCCACAACTGCCCTAAAGCAACAGCTTACCTTCATTTTTCCTTCTTACGGACTTCAGACCGAGCCATCTCCCACAGTCTATCCCACTCTGCCCTTGCTCTATAAGGCTGCTCTAAGGCTGCCATCTAACCAGTACAGAACCTTCTAGAACTACCCCTCACATGGCCTGCACTCACACACTTGATCACCTCAGAGGGCTGGTCACTGAAAACTGAAAGGCACACCCCATCTTGGTCACCATTTAGACCTGTGCCCAGAATGTATTTCATGTGCCAATGACAAGCAGGCTCCCAGATGCCCAAGGCACATGGGCTTATCCATCCTGTCTTCCTTCCCCCAGCTTGGCTCCCTCTACATTCCCAGCAACTCAAGGAGGGACATCTTCAAGCACACAGACCTGACTTTCCCAGTGGCTCCACGTCTTCCCTCTCGTCAGCACTGTCAGAAGGGATCTATCACTGCCTGGATGTCTCTCACTGGACTCTCAAGATACTCTTGTCAAGGTCTCTCTATGCCACCCATCCACCCAAAATCTCTGTCCGTCCTCATCTGATGACCTTTTTCAGAAAGCCACCAACAAAGGAGCCACCCCAGCCTTCTGGAAACACCTGGGATGTCATTTCTACTTTCACTCCAGCAGTGTGATTCTCAAGGCTTTCTGAGAGCCCTTTCTTCCTCTTCTCAGGTCTCTCCCTCCTGATGACCTCAGTGGAAGTCTGCTGGCAGGGGCTGGCTGACCAGCAAACTGGCTCATCCTCTGAAACTCTAAGCAAGCCCCCAATTAAATGCTTTCTTACTTTCTTTCTTTTTTATAAGTTGCCCTGTCATGGTGTCTCTTCACAGCAACAGAAAAGTAACTAAGACACCATCCAAGGAGAGAAGTGTGAGGGAACTAAACCTCACCTGCTGTCGTGAAGACAAGGAGGACCCAGACTGTGCAGGCTCTGGAAGCCTGAGAAGAACACGTCTTTGGTCTTAGTGGAGTCCTGAGATGGTATCAAAGAAAGAAATATCATGGGACTCAGGTTTAGGAGGCATATTCTAGGAATCTCTTGTGAAGTCAGACAGGAGCCAGGGTGTTGGGAAAGACACCACTCAGTTCCACCGCTAGGACTAAGGGAACAACTGAAGGAGCTATGACCAGTCTGTAGAGAGAACAGGAAGGTGAGTCAGATAACCTCTAAGCTTTGGCCTGAGTATCCTCAGGGGAAGGATGGGCTTGCTGGTGAATAAGATGGGCAGGATGACCGAGTATCTGGGGCTAGAGGCAACAGGGATCCAGGTCAGGGGGTAGGAGCAGATGGATACAAAAGCAAGTCTAGGAAATGGTCACAACCGGGAACACGGAACTCGGAAGTGAGGGAAGTGGTGAAGCAAAAGAGTTAGGGAAGGCAGGTAGGAAGGCAGAGTCAGGGGGTGTGGTACAGTGAGGGTCTCACTTCATCACAGGGGAGGAGGCCTGCGTAGCCTAACTAACTCATGAATCCCAGAAATGACAAGGGGTAGAGAGAAAGTGAGGTGAGGGCTCAAGGATAGAGAAGAGCATGTGGCAGGGCGGGGGCAGGGGTGGGGATGACTCCAGATCATCCAAAAGAAGCAAGCAATGAAATAGTGATGGGTGAGGCCAAGAGGCTCTTGGTGGCCTATTGGAAGTGACTTTTGAAGAGACGAAGATGACGCTTGTGGCGAGGGCGGGCGTCTGAGAGAGATGCTTGGCTGCTTAACCACCCAGAAATGCGGAAAGGCAGACTGTACTGCTGGCACATGACCAGGGCCCTGTGGAAGTCCCCCCACCCCATGTCTGCTCATCGAAAGAGGAAGCAAGGCCTTGGCTATTACTGATGAAGATGTTAGAGATTTAAGAAGAAAGAATGAAGCTACCACTTTCCTAGAGGCATTCCATTCTAGGAAGATGCAACCTCAGTAGGGCCCAGCACCCATCTAAAAGGAGCTAAGAACCACCAGCTGTCACTCCCTCTCCTGCAATGCTCGGCACCCTCCTCGCGTACCTCACCCCACAGGCCCGCTGACCTTTTCCGCTCCCCATCACCCTCATCCCACCCTCACGCTTTGCTGAGAAGGCCTTCTCACTTCCCCAACACTAGCCCTGCCACCCCGTTCCTAAGTGCTCTGGACTTTGCTCAAATCCTCTACTTGGCTGTTCCCCCCCAACCCCACACACACACCCTGCCTGCCTGGCAAGTACCCCTTGACCCTCCCACACGGAACATTTTCAGCACACATTCTTTCTTCCTTCTGAAAGGTCAGCAGTATGCCCCAGCCCCCAGGGGTGACTCTACAAGATATCCACCTGTTTAACTCTGGGGTACAGATTGCCCTCAGGCAGAAACCCCTCATCCTAAAGACAGAGTCCAAGCTCATGAGATGAACCTCAGCTGTCACTCATCTCCCCATGGTCTCTCTGACCTGCAAGAGGCTTCTTACTCTGAGAACTAAGAGGAGCCAACTGGCAGGTAAGAGGCCTACATAAACGCTGGAGGTATGAGTACTGCCATTTTACCATTAGTAAAGCCAGGTTCCACCTATAGCAGACCTAGCCAAAACAAAATACCAAATCAAGAGAGAGGACACTGCTGGAGCCCTACTCCCAGCCATTGGTTTCCAGGGACCAGCTCTGGAGATGGTAAAGCTGAGTCTACATGCTGCTGTCAGAATGGCACTTCCTAGCTCCTGCTTCCTCTACCACAGCAGCCCTCTGATGGTATGGACCTCAATAGTTCTCTCTCTTCCTCCTGAGCCTTCTTCTTGTCCCTATGGTGGCTGGGCTAAGATTCAAGTGAGAGAGCTGGTGGCCATTTCAAGCCGGAACATTGTCCTCCCAAATACCAACTGCTACTGAGAAGCCATTTCGCTTCCTTGCCCCACAAACAGACTGTCAGCTCAGTGATTTTGCAACACTGGGTCCACCTCAATGACTAAAGTCACAAGTTCTGGGGAACAGAAGTACCTGGGAGCCACTTGTCAACCAGGTTCAAGGCCAAGCCTGTCCCACAGAGGCCCTAGTGGGCCCACAGGAGAGAACTCCAGAATGACACAGCCACCTCTCTCTGGCTGGAAAACCAGAGTCACTCTGGGAAAAACCCAGCCTGAATCCTGGTTCAGATTCATGGGCCCCTGTAGCCCTGGGCTGTGGCTATCATGGATCACCTAAAGGCAGCCTGGATGGTGAAGGGCAGGAACCCACCCGGCCAGGGTAGTGGCCCTACCCTGGGCTTAGCATGGAGCCCCAGGCCACCCACCTGCCATGGCACTGGTGCTGCCGTGGGCCCAGCAGGAACCACAGTACTGTGGGATGTGCTGGTTCCTGGTGACGCTGCAATAGTTGACACCATTCACATTTCGCCAGTCCCAGTTCTTAGGGATATCCGATGGGGCCAGGTACTCATGTGGCCGAGGGTAGGTCCTGGGAAGAGGTCACAGCAATGGAAATCAACTTGGAGCACCAGGGACCTCCTCTCCCCCACCAGGGCCACAGACCCAGTCAGTCCTCCTGTGGCCATCTTCCCTTTCCCAAAAATGTGGAAGTTTCAGAGCTTAGCCTTTAATCACCAGAAGAACCACCAGCAGAACCAGCACTAGTAGAAGTTGTCGGTGACAAAACATCTCTGAAATACCCTAGTGTTCACCACCCAAGTCTGTAGAGGAGAGGACTGCCCAATGTACAAACACCAAAGCAAAGCTCCCCGGATGTGAAAGTCATCCCAAAAGGAAGGGATGGGATTTGTGCTTTCCAGCAGGCAGGATAAGCCACAGGGAGGCAAGGTCCCAGCGGGCAGGGGGCGCACGTCTGGCCCAGAAATTGACCCTTCCTCCCTAGGCACAGCCCCGCGCCCACCTGCGCCCTAGCTGAGCCAGCTGGAACCCGCGAAGGGGCCGGTAGCAGGTCTGGCCCGAGCGGAAGTAGAGGTTGGCCTGCGCCGCACCAGCCAGCATCAACAGCAGCAGCAGCAGCCGCGGCTGCTGCACGGACCCGGACGACGCCATGCTTCTTCTGCTCCCGGCCTGCTCGGATACCGGATCCTGCTGCACCTTCGACCCTTTGACCCGACCCGCAGACCCACGCGCTCGGGGTGCCCCGCCCGGTCCTTTAGGAGGTGCCCAAGTTGGACACACCCTGGAGGCGGGGCCTCCCCCTCTGCTCCTGCCCCTGCCCCGCCCAACAGGCCCTAGGGCAGAATCTGCCTCCCCAGGGATCTGAGGGATCAGCAGAATCTGAAGTCTACAGGAGGTCACACAACCAGACCCCAGGCCTGACCAGTGCCACTAGCCACTGTGGATAGATGGACTGACTGGGCACAACTGTCAAACTTACTCTCCAGAGACCTAGACATCCTGGAGCAGAGTAGGGCTCTGTGGGCTTCCGTGGCCAAGATTCTTTTTTTTCTCTCTACTCTGCAGTGGTGGTGCACTGTCTCCTTAGGCTAGGCCTCCCCTAGAAACACACAGAGATATACTGAGGGCAGAAGAAAGAGGTGCGGGTCACCCCCTACCCCAGCATTGGACCCTAGCCTGGCTTTCTGAACCCCATTCCCCAAAAGACGCAAGCTCTCCCTGAAGAGACAGCTCTCCTTCACAGAGAAGGAAGGTGTGATCCTTCTAGGATTACTCTTAAAGAACATTTTCACTTGGCACATACATCGTGAGTCCCTGGGGTTCTGGGAAAGGGTCCCTGTTAACGAGACTCTTTCAAGATGAGGAACCGAGAAAGAAGTGGGAACCGGCCAGCCTGGGTTTCACAATGGAAGAATTTCCCCTTCCTCCTGTGCCTCGTGAATCATCTCCTCTTTTGTAAGAACAATTCCTTAGTGTTTTATCTCAGGGTCTCTCCAGGTGGTGGGTGTGAGGCTCCCAGTGCACAGAAGCCAGCCAGGCTATGGTCTCTGTCTGTGCATAGTGGCAGTCAGAAATCACAATGGCTGCCTTGCTGCCTGCCTTTCCAGATCACCCAGAATTCCAGCAGGACTCAGAAGCCTGCTGCAAGCCTCCTGTCAGAACAGAACAAGGCCTCAGAAGCAAACTCCCAGCTCCCCTTCACAAAGTAGAAGTTTTGGTCCCTGTCTCTGCAAAATTATCACTGAGGCAAGGTGTGAATGTTGAGATCTGTTTGTTGAAATCTTTCATCTTAGGGAGTCATGACAACCCTTCTCTTCTGTGAGCGGTGTGAGGATGATATGAATGAGGCCACTTAAGACCCAGAACACTCCAGAAACACTCCAGTCTGAGCTCCCTAACCAATTCTCCCCAATGATAACCATGCATTGACTTTAGAGCCCTGTCATTCTCCACTCTGAGGGAAGGAGGAGGAAATGCTATCTCCCACATGGATTCCATATCAGCTCTCTCTTCTTTCCAAGACAGAAGGAGACCCCAGATTCACAGGAAGTGGAAAGCTGGTCTTGATGATTCTATGATGCCATACAGGTTAGGTCTCCTGAAGTGGGCAGGGATTGTTGCCTCTGAGGAAAACAACAGAGGCTAGCAATGTTCAACAGGACATTGTGTACTTAGCGTGCTCAAGTACCCAAGTTCAATCCCTGGCACAAGCAATGAGTAAATGAATAAATGAATTTTAAATTTTTAAAAAGATGTATTTTTAATAATTTGTGTGTTTTTATGTGTTATATGTGCTTGTGAGGTCAGGTAACTGTTGAAGTAACTTTTATTCACCTGAGCTAATTGTCATCTTGGAGGCTTACTGCCTCTGTCTGCCTAGTCCTGTAAGCCTCTAGCCTCCACACAAACCAATCTACATCTAGAATGTTTTCAGCCTCTGAGACTTCCTGCTGAATAAACTCACCCTTTCTAGTTCTTTCTGAACTCTGGCTGGCTGGTTCAACTCAGCTGTTCTGGCTAAAAGCTCCTCTCCAAGCTGACTGATTCAAATTGACTTCTCTCAGCTTCTGACTGAATTTCTCTGCTTGGCCTCATACTAACATATCTTCTACTCTTCTGGCTCCTTCTCATTCTCTGGCTTGTTCTGTCTAGCTTGTTCTCTCTTCAACCTGCCTCTGTAAAACTCTACCAGTAAAACTGCTTATGAAGTCTGCCAACTGAACTGCCACAAACAACTCCACTGCACTGCCTCTCAGCTCACTGACTCAGCTGAACTGCCTGAATAGAACTGACTAGGTAGAATGAAGATCTGCACGCCTCTGTCTCCTGAGTGCTGGGATTAAAAGTGTGTACCACCATGCCTGGACCTAAGCTTTTCTTTACCTGAAACTTGTTCTCTACCAGGCTGGCCTTGAACTCAAAGATGTGCTTACCTCTGTTTCCTGGAATTAAAGGTGTATCTGTGTTCCAGCCATATCACACAGACATCGAAGGTCTTTGAATCACATCTCTTGTCAGAGCAGCCATGTTCTCAATTAAGATTCCTCCTCAGGTGTCCTTGGAGGCCAGACAAGCATGCCCAACACCACGGAGCTGTAGTTTCAAGATGCTGTGAGCCAAGAGACATGGGTACTGAGAACCCATCTCAGTACCCAAATTTACTGCTGCTCTTCTAAAAGGGCAGTCTGTGCTCTCCACCTCTGAACTAATTAATTAATTAACAGAAAAGAAAGAAAAGGAAAACCCTGAAAACACTTTGTCTGTGAGTAACAGACATTGTCACCGCCCTCCAGGGTCTTGATTGTGCAAAGTCCACCCACACATTCCAAGGCGGTACAATTGTTCTGGAGTCAGCAGGCAGGCAGGCAGGCCCCTGACTGAACACCCATGTTTTATGTTGGTTTACAGGCATCATGATGCTGTACAAATATACCCTCAGCTTACCGGCTCTTCTGGTCACACGCTGTTAGCAGCTCTGGGGTGCTGGGAGCAAGCTCTGGCATCCTCACAGCAAATCCACTGCACTAGACGCTGTCTGGATATGAAGGACTTGCCATGAGGACATGTGGCCCCCACGGTCATGTAGAGCCACAAGCCTGGGAGGGTTCAACTTTTCCTTGGCCCAGAAAATTACACAGCAGGTATGATGATCTTAGAGTCATCTGCCTGGCCTGCAGTTGGTCACAGGCATAGTCTTGCTCTACCAGGTCTTGTCACAAGGTAGCATTTATGTGATGAATCTCACTAAATGCTGCTGAAAGGGGTAGGGGTAGGAGCTACAACATTACAGGCTTGCAAGGTGGACAGTGTCCAGGATGGCTGAGTTGAAGCCTATTGGAGTTGCCCCTAAAGAACTTGGGACGTGATGAGAAGAGAGGTAGGTTAGAGAGAAGGGGAGGGAGCCTACGATTTTCAAGCCAAGAAGGAAGTGGGGACCATGACTCACACTGTGTATGTTATTTCAGACCCTTGTGACCGGTCAGATTCAGCACAGCACAGCCACCAAGGGCTCTTCACCTTGAAGCTTGAGTGGTGTGTAACCACCCTTGCTTTCAGGTCCCCATTCCCCACCCTGCCTTATCACTTTCTAAGTCCACACTAAAGGGGAACCCTTCCCACAAGTCTGTGTGTGTGTGTGTGTGTGTGTGTGTGTGTGTGTGTGTGTTCTGTTACAGGAAGAGCCACCAATCAAATTCCAATTTTCCTGCTGCTGTCCCTGAAGAACCTTGGTCCTAAGGGATTCTCTGAGGGGCACGTGGATAAAGGGACCTGGGAGGTGGAGGACATAGGGTCTACCTCTGCCCTGGTCCATACATGCTGGAGGCTGAGTTCATTCCTGTGGCAGTACCCCCCTCCCAGAACCGCTTCACTGGCCTGGAAGCATGGAGCCACAGCCTGAAAGGTGTTTTCTATTTTGACATCACTACTTCAGGTGTCAAGGAGGTCATATTGCGGATAGTGACTCATCTAATCTGGGCCTGAAAAGAAGGAGGCTCATTCAGAGGGCAGAGCCTGCACCTTCCTACCTCGGAGGCCCTGCTCACACGTGTTGCTTTTAGAAGCTGTTTTATGAGCAGTCGTTGTGTGTCTCTGCCACCCAGGCTTGGGGCACAGTCAAACAGGTGTTGGTGAACTGGGCATGTCTCTGGAAACGACTCTGCAGTTCTTTACCTGAGTAGCTGGCAGTGTGCCCCGGGCTGTTCTTAGAGGTAATGTGAATCATGGCAGTTTCAGGTAGGTGTGGCTGGAGCTGGTGGCTTAGTCCTGCTTTGATTCTTCATTCTTCCCCAGCTGGGAAGGGGTACATACTACTTTCCCTCTTCACACATGGGAAGATGGCACTGGCAGAGAGGCCAGGACTTAGCATGAGGCTCCTGGGTGCAGATCAGAATCTGAGGTATTTTCTTTTATAAATATTCCATAAAGTCTCCTGGCAAACACATGATCCAAGGCCACAGACACAAAAGACTATTCATTTCTAAAAATAAGGTTGATTTTCCCCCCTATCCTAATAAAGAACAACATGCGTATTTTTGAGTTAGGCCAGGGTCAGCCCACCTCCCTAACCCAATGGGAGGGTGGACTGGAGTTCGTGTTTAGCAGAGTGGCCTCAAGATCTTCTCTCTCCTTCCTTTGTGTGGTATTGTCTGGCTCCCACCCTGGCGAGCTGCAGACATTTCCTATTATTGCACATTCCTGAGTGGGGCCACATCCTGGAGACAGCGTCTGTTTTGATGGCTGCTAACAGTATTCCAGAAGCAGGCTGGTTTTGCAGGGCACTATGGCCTCCACACCAGCCACAGGCCTCCCCTCCATCCCTGCAGTCAATGGCCAGAAGCCTGCGCTAACTTACAGACATCTGGCAGAGAAGGCCCTCTGATTGGGTGGCTCAGCTTCGTCATGGACCCTGCCACTGTTCCCAGGACCATCTTGCTTCATATCCTGGCCTGCTGTCGGCACACGCTTGCCGGGGAAGTAGCTTCCTGGAGTCACGTTCCGAAGGTTGGTTTCAAGGCCATTATTTCCGGAACATGCTGCCTGCAGCTGGTCACCTAATGTATGTATAGCAGACACGTGAATCCACCCTTGAGGCCTTTCAAAGGGGCACTTCATCTCTTTCCTGGGGTAGAATCCACTTGCTCTCTAAAGGTGGGTGGCACTGAGTATGTGCCAGGCTTCTGTTGTCAGCCCAGCCCCCACGGGGGTGAGGGGTAGGGGAAGGGTCCCAGGGAGAAGGAGCTTGTATTCTGCCAAGG